AGTGGTAATTTAAAGGGGGCAACTTATTCACAGTGCCATGTGACATTGAGTTGCCACACAGCCTTGCAAATTATAGGGAACATTGATAAGCAGCCTGTCATTTCCACTATACTGTCTGTTTGCTTGAAATCTTTTATATTCGTTTCGTAGTTTGCTAAACCTCCAAAGTATGACATTTGATATACAATAAGGAGAATGGCTTAGAAGAGATAAACAGATTCAGGATCATTCAGGAGCTGTTCAAGGTCCTTTATTATTCTGCCAAATTCAATGGTATCTTGGTCATATGAAGTACTTGTTCCTGCATGCACTGTGGGATTATATATTTAGTCAAACACCACAGCTAGGGCTATTGTAGTGCCATCTCAGCTCCAGGACATCTCTGCACAAATTCCTGAAGGTGGTATCCTAGGCCCAACTATCTTCACCTGCTTCACCAATGACTTTCTTTCAATCATAACATCAGAAGTGAGGATTTTGCTGATGCTTGTACAGTTCTTAGCACCATTCTCAACTCCTCAGATACTTAACCAGTCAATGTCCAAGTGCAACAAGACAAAAACAATATAAGAACACTTGGGCTGACAAGTCACAAGTAGCATTTATGCCACATAAGTGGCAGGCAATTGCCATCTCCAATAAGAGGCAATTCAACCACTGACTTTTGATAGTCAATGGCATTACCATGACTTAATCTCCCATTATCAGCATCCTATTGGTTACCATTGACCAAACACTGACCTGGGCCAGCCATAAGAATACTGTGGCTACAGGAGTAGGCCAGAGTTTAGAAATCATGGAGTTAGTAACTCATCAATTGAGTGGATTTGGAAGGTGCTGTCTAAGGAGACTGGTGAATTTCTACAGTACTTCTTGCAGATGGTACACATTGCTGCCGAGCGGCAGTGGTAGAGAGAGTGAATGTTTGTGGATGTTGTGCCAAAGCTTGAGGCAATTCCAACAACACTGAAGAAGCTCGATACCATCCAGGACTTAGCAGCCCGCATGAACACTACCATCTAGAAAGACAAGGGCAACAGATAAAAAGGAGTGCAATCATTTGCATGTTACTCATCAACCTCCTCACCATCCTGCCTTGGAAGTGAATTGCCATTCTTTCAGTGTCACTGGGTCAAATCCTGGAACTCCTTCTGAACAACACTGTGGCTGTACCTACCAAATGGACCGCAAAGATTCAGGAAAGCAGCTAACCAATGCTGCCTTGAGTGCAATTATTGAGGAATAAATGCTGGCCCAGCCAGCCTTGCTCACATCCCCTGAATGAGCGCAGTATTACAAAAAATGGGTTTGCATGAAATTTCAACGTGCAGGTATGCAGAAGTCAAACCATCGTTTCCTGTTCTTGGCATTGCTGTGTCTATTAATACTGTAATTAGGTTGTGCTAAAACAGACTTAAATATCCCCAATGTAACATGTTAAAAACAAATTTATATTAATTTTATATATTGTTTGGATTCTACTTATCACTGTAATTTTTTTCCTTTGACAGTGTTGTTCAGGCTGATAGACAAGAGTGCCTTGCAATGCAACTATGACAATGCTTAAATCCCAATTATAAATAACATCATCACTAATTGGGATATTTCAATTATCTTTTTGCGATTTTTCATGACGCAAGATCATATCAAGTGCAAGGCATCATACCATAACCGAAAGGTTCTGCAGCCATGCTTGTTCCTTCATATGTTCTCTTTGATTATGAGAGATTGACTTATTTTAAAATATATATATTAGTATCCCTATTGGTGACCAGGATGAAATATATTTTAATGAGTGATGCTTCATTTAATGTAACTTCCCAGTTATGAATTCATGAAACTGACTGAGTTGGTGGTGTATAGCTGCAGGCTGAAACTTGTCAACACCTAGCTGAAAATTAAATGTACTACCATTTCAACTTTGAGTTCCCTGATTGCATATCATTTCATTCTGCTAAACATTGAAAATATGTTTTGAATTCAATTCTTTTTACAGTATTACTAGTATAATTTTAATACTGTGACACTTTACATAACAATAAATTTCCACACATTCACTTGTGTATTAATTTGGCAGTCTGATCTCTGGACTTGGAATATGATGCACTTAAACTTGCAAGGCAGTTTTGCTTGCAAGTGTAATATTCGTAATCTTTGTTTAAAAACATTTGTAGTAACTATATCTTGGAGAAATGGGCTCAACTCATTCTGATTCTGGCCTTAATTAGCTTTTACTGTAGAAATTTATGTTGGGATGTTTTGATTTGGAAAGAAACATCAACCTGTGTTTCACAAAATGGAAGTCTTCCCATGGAGTGGCACGGTGGCACAATGATTAGCACTGCTGCCTCACAGCACCAGGGACCTGGGTTCAATTCCACCCTCGGGCGACTGTGTGTATGGAGTTTGCACGTTCTCCCCATGTCTGTGCGGGTTTCCTCCAGGTGCTCCGGTTTCCTCCCACAGTCGAAAGTTGTGCAGACCAGGTGGACTGGCCATGCTAAATTGCCCATAGTGTTCAGGGATATATAAATGAGGTGTGTTATAGGGGGATGGCTCTGGGTGGGATACTCATTGGGTCAGCGTGGACTTGTTGGGCTGAAGGGCCTGTTTCCATACTGTAGGGATTCTATGATCTATGATATTCCTATATATATAGTAATATTGGAGGGGAATGATAGGAGTAGAAATCATCAGCTTGATTTGGGATGAAACACCTAAAATATTTCTGTTTTAGTAGCCTGTTTAACACATTCCCTTTTAGGCTGCTGCATTGCTATACTAATTCAGAAGACAATCAGCTGCTTAATCAATGCCACTGTCATTAGCTTTTTGGTGGCAGGTGTAGGTGCAAAAGTTGCTTGGTGTACTTTGCTTTGGCTTTCTTTACATCTTTTCTTTCCTTCTCTTCCTTTTATCAATTGATAATGTATTTGCTTTCCTATGAATTTCCCTGATAGAATAGTTCAGAGTGGTAATTTTCTGTATGGGAGGCTGTGGACATGATCTCTTTCCTTCTGCTCAGTGGCACATAACTTTATCTTTTTGATTTTTACTCTCATAAAATGATTCCTAGCTTTTTCTGAATGTTTGCTCTGTTGTTTGATCCCTATTTTCCTGGCCGTGCTATTAAAATGATCATTCCATGCCAAAACACATGAAGCAACAATGAGTTTTGTTCCCTGAAATGATCATCAGCCATGTGTGAATGTGATGTTCTGCCATGTGTGAATGTGATGTTCTGCCATGTAAGGCCTACTGCTGACAGCATCACAGGAATTGACATGATGGAAGTAATGTCAATTCCGTATTTGTTTGTTCTGGATGATAACAGAGTGTAATCCTTAAAGATTATGTGTATTAACATGTAAATAATCTGTGGAGGCAGTGAAGCAGACTTAGTGACAGTTACAGAATTTTGTAGTTATAACGTTGTTACTGCATGCTGGTATTGTCTCCAAGTTTCTTTGATGGCATCTTCATAATATGGACCATTATTGTATAGATGAATTAGGGCTAGGAGTAGGCCACTCAGCCCCTCACAGCCAAGCTTTCTTGGTGATGTGAAATTTTGCATGTCAGTGATTTGTCCAGATTGTGTCGACTGTTCTTAAAGTTCAGTTCAAAGCAAGTCTAAGATGCAGCTCTTTAGAGTAGTTGATGCTGGTTATTGCTGTGGAGGAGATACAGTGATCTATACGGTAGCAGTAAGATGCAAACTGATTTAAATAAAAATATGGGGGCTGCTTCTTTGCATATTTGTCTCTTGCTCCTCATTGAATAGAAAGGTGTCAATATACTGGAAGACTTTTTTTTCCTGTAGCACAGTGATGTCATGATATTTGTAGAAGACCCAGGGAGCCAGAATCATTTACCAGTGGCAGATCTAGTTGATTAAATAATTGTACCCTTGGTTAATATTTACTTTGCCTATTCAAAATAATTGAGTCTTTTTGACGAGGTCTTTGATCATAAATATCCATATAAGTTTGGGTTTTTTTGCTTTCAGTTTCTGAATAACATTGTAAACTTAAACTTTGCAATGAAGCTAATTGAACTGAGAAATAATTTTATAGTAATTGACTTAGTGTATTTTAATTTGTGACCCTTGGGAATCGCTAAATGGATGGCATTCAAACCAAAATCTTGCACAAACTCTCTTGCCTGGCTACTATACAGTGTTACCCCTAGGATGTAGAAAGAGCTTGCAGGATATGTCTCATTTTGGAGAAGAATGCTACAGTCTTGAACTAACACAAATAAGTGATGGTGGGAGCTCTGGAAGGATGAAAGAGAAAATAGCTTTTATTGTGAATCTTTAGTTTACAAGTTTGCAATTTTTAAAAAAAATTCATTCATGGTTTGTTGGGATTAGTGGCCAGGCCAGCATTCATTGCTGTACGTCTAGGGTCACACATAGGCCAGACCAGGTAAGGATGGCAGTTGCCTTCTCTAAAGGCCATTAGTGAACCTGATGGTTTTTCCCAGCAATCAGCAACACTTTCATGGTTATCATCAGCCTCCTAATTCCGTTTTTTTACTGAATACAAATGCCACCATCTGCCACAATGGGGTTCAAACTGCTCCCCAGAACATTACCTGGGTCTCTATATTAATAGCCTAGTGATAATACTACTAGGTCATTGCCTCCTTGAGCAGGAAGACAAAATCGTGAGACAGATTGTTTATGGGACCAGGATGTTGTCATCGCCAGTAATTATTTTTCATCTAATTTTGAAATGGTGCAATGTTAGTGACAGAGGAGCAAGAATTGTTGTAGTTAATTCTTAGTAATTATGTGCGCACAATGTTATTTTAAGCCATGCATTGTTAACCCCAAAGTATTTGCTTGTACATATTGAGCAGTATGCTTGATGGGCCAGTTGTTCTTGATTAATTGTTTAACATGTCTATGAAGACTTTTATAGTAGATTTGTGGGACCATTCTGACCATCAGATCAAGTGTTTTGTAATATTAGTTGTTCTTTTGATTTTCACAGTTGAAAGATCCAAATCTCAACAGATGAGAACCTCCAGTACAATCCGGCGCACCTCTTCTCTAGATACCATAACAGGACCTTATCTCACAGGACAGTGGCCACGTGATCCTCATGTACACTACCCATCATCTATGAAGGATGAATCTACACAGGTAAAGAACAAAATTAAGATTTGGAGTCTATTGCAATGAGTTGTTGTTATTTTCTGACCTTGGTCAGTGTATAATCACCACTCATATTTTTTAATACTTGATCCAAAGTAAATTGGCTTTATAATTTAGCCATGGAAACATATTTTGAATGCTAATATTTAAAAATCATTCATTGTTCAGCTCTTGTTGCTGTTCTCTGCGTTAGGTTTAGGAAATTCCAGATTAATAAAGAATGTATTAGTTACTATGTCAGTTTCAGTCATTGAACAGAACTACTGTCCCTATTATCGTCATCTCACAACTAGAGATGTAAGAGTATATCACCTGGAGATTATAAGAATGAGAGATGATATCACTGAAGTATTTAAAACTGTTAAGGATCTCAACAAAGTAGATTTTGGGCATTAGAATCCTTCGGTTGGGAAATCCAGAACTGGAGGCTACAATCTCAAGATAAGGGGTTGATCATTTAGGACTGAGATGAAAAAGTTGTTAACTGAAAGGATTGTAGATCTTTGAAAATCTCTATCTCTGAGGGCTGTGGGCACTCAATTGTTGAATATACTTGAAACACAGAATGATAGATTTATTGATACTAAAAGAAGTGGCAATAAATGCACACCTAGCCAGCAATACACACATCCAATCAAAGACTTTTAAACCTAAGCAATGTGGGCACACTGCAGGAATGTGTAACTGAAATAGGATATCAGTTGAGATTGTAATGGAAAATTAGGCTTCGTCAAACCTTTTCTATGTTCTTAAGTAGGTATTGCACATTTGGGCTTTATCCTGACTGTACCTGACATTTTCTGAGATGCCTTGTTGATAGTGCCAAACAAAGCATTGACGTTGTGGTTGTGCGGGGATTTATGATGTTGCGTGTTTTATTTCCTTAACATTAACACTCTGATGGACCCAGTGAATCACTGCTGGTGGTTTGCCTACTAGAATCTCTGGATTGTTACCTCCGCTATGTGCCAATTAGCAAAGGGCACATAGAATTAGTGAAATGAATATGAGGCTCAAAGGTTGGTGTAGGAGAAGTGGGTTCCAGTTCATGGAGCATCAGTACAAGGAATGTAAGGCTTTGCTGGTGGAACAGTCTGCGCCTGATCTGTGCTAGGACTGTGTTCTAGCAAACTGTGTAACTAGGGGAGTAGGGAGGGCTTTAAATTAAACAATGTGGATATACGGGTTCCACCTTGGGTAGGGGCAGCAAATCGAAGGATGCAGTGAAGACAGGAGAGCAAAATCACAATATGGGAAATGAAGTGTAGAGAACAGGAGGGACAGGGAATAAATCTAAGGATACACCAACAGCTCACCCTTAGTTAGTTTTATGTTTAGTCCTGGAAACATTTTGATTTTTAAAATCATTTGTTGTTCAGTTCTTGGTTGCTCTTCTGTATATTGGGCTTAGGAAGTTCCAGGTTACTGAAGGATACACTAGTGACAATGCCACCTTTTAATCATTGAATCATCAAGGTTAGGTATTACAAAGATAACAAAAGAACAGTACAGTCCTGGTCACCCTGCTGTAGAAAGGATATTATTAAATTGGAGAGGATTCAGACAAGATTTACCAGGATGTTGCCACAACTGGAGGTTTTGAGTTATAGGCAGAGGCTTGATAGGCTGGGACTGACTTCACTTGAACGAAGGAGGGTATAAACCTTAGAAGTTTATAAAATCAGGAGGGGTATAGGTAAGGTGAATAGCAAAGGTCTTTTCCCTAGGGTGAAGTCATTCAAAACTAGAGGGCATATTTTTAAGGAGAGAGGGAAAAGATTTAAAAAGAACCTGAGGGCCAACTTTTTCACGCAGAGGATGGTTCATACGTGGAATGAACTGCCAGAGAAAATGATACCTGCAAGTATATTTACAACATTTAAAAGACATTTGGATAGGTACATGAATAAGAAAAGTTGAGAGGGATATGAGCCAAACATGGCAAGTAGGACCAATTTAGTTTGGGAAACTTGGTCAATATGGGCGAGTTGGGCCGAAGGATCTGTTTCTGTGCTGTATGACAGTGACTGCATGAATTAACAAAATTATCAAATTGACACTGCACAGTGAATTATATAAATATGATCTGGTGGATGTGGCCGTAGGATGACAATGTTTGGGTCCTGAATTTTGAAAGGTATTTAGCATTCAAGAAGAATAGGGAATTATGTTAAAAAGAAAGGCATTGGTGCAATCGTTAAAGATGAACTTGGTTATGTAAATCAAGATATAGAATTGGTTTGGGTGGAGAGGTGGAACATTACGGGAAATAAAGTCACTTGTGGGAGTTGTCGACTGGCTCCATAACAGTAACCACAATGTAAGATGCAGAGGAATCGCAACAGATTAAGTGAGTTGGCAAAAACTTGGCAGATGGAATGTAAAGTAGGAAAATGTTAAGTTAGTACGTTGGCAGAAAAAATAGAGGAGCTTGATATTATTTAAATGGAGAAAGACTGCATAAAGTTACAGAACAGAGGGATTGGAAATCCTCATCCATGAATCACAAAAAGCTCAGATCCAAATTCAGCAGATAATATGGAAGGCAATCAGAATGGTGGCCTTTATTTCAAAGGGAAAGGAGTATAAAAGTAGGGAGGATTTGCTAAAACTACACAGCACTAGTCATTCCACTGTTGGAATGCTGTGAACAGTTTGGGTTTTTTTTTAATCTAAGCATAGATATACCAGCATTGGTGGCATTCCAGAGAAGTTTCACTGGGCTGATACCAAATACAGAATAACCCTCTCATGAGGAGAGGTTGAGTAGGCTCAGCCTGTATTCATTTGAGTTTACAAGCATGAAAGATGACTTTATCGAAACCTACAAGATTCTTAAGGGATGACAGGAAAAGTTGTTTCCCCTAGTGGGAGAGTCTAGGACCAGAGGGCATAATCTCAGAATAAGGGGTTTAAAACAGATAAGGAAGAATGTCTTCTGAGGGTAGCAAATCTGTGGAATTCTTTCCTGCAAAGTGCTCACAAAGCTGCATCATGAAGTATATTCAAGGCTGAGATAGACAGATTTTTAATCATTAAAGGAATCAAGGATTATTGGAAAAGGCAGGAAGGTGGAGTTGAGTTATCAGATCAGCCATGATCCCATTGAATGGCACAGCACATCGATGGTCTGAATCGCTTAAATCTGCTCTTGTGTTTTATGGTCTTATTAAATATTTGGTACTTGTGATGAAGAGGTGGCAATAATCAAGACAGATTAAAATCATCTATATAAAGTAGAAAAATTAGATGGGAAAAGTGACCTGGATGAGTTCATAGATCAATTTAGAGAGAATTTCTTAGAGTAGCACATTCTGGGACCAACCAGAGAGCAGATTATACTAGCTGGTATTGCATAATGTGACAGGACTAATTAATGATGTGAAATCAAGGGAATCCTATGTAGTAAGAACCACAATACGATTGAATTTCACATCTAATTTGAAAGGGAGAAATGTACGTCCAGGATTGGTATTTTAAACTTAAATAATGGCCGTTTTGTGGGCACGGGTGCTAACCTGGCTGAAGTGAATTGGGCTAATCTAGACTTACGGGACAGATCACTTTGAGATGCATTGGCAGATGTCATAGAGGATATTTCAGAAAAGTCAGAAGTATATTTTTCTAATATAAGGAAATGTTCTAAGGGGGAAATCAGTGAATCGACTATCCGTGGTTTGCTGAAGTAGTTAGGGAAAGCATCAAGCTTAAGTAAGAAGCACACAATTATGCAAGGATAGGTGTCAGGTCAGATGTTTGAACAGATCATAAAGAATGGCAGATATTAAAATATTACTCCGACAAAGATCCTAAATGATCCAGACAAAGTGGATGTTCAAAAAATGTTTGAGAGTCCAAAACTATGGAAACTGTCTAAGAGTTAGGGTTGCCCTTTTGAGACAGTTTAGAAGAAATGTTTTCTCTCTAAGGATTGTGTAAGCTGTCTTCCTCAGAAGATGATGGAGGTAATGCCATGAATATTTTTAAGGTGGAGGTAGATTCTCGTTAGTCAAGAGACTCAAATATTATTCAAGATAAATGGAAATATGGAGTGTGAAACACAAAACAGATCAGTCATGATTTTATTGAATGGCAAAGCTTGAATTCATAAGTCATTCCCCAGTCACAAATGGCAGAAGTTGGTTTCATCTGCAGTTCCAGGCTAAGATCATTGTTTGGATCTCTGAAGAAAAATTCAAATATCTCACTGAGGTTATTTCAATGGGTGGGCACTATCTGAAATGCCACTCCTCTGCCAGATCAGGTTGTACTGTAATTTTTGGTTTGTGGGCAAAGCTGAGGCCTTAGTGGAGTGGGACCTACAAGTGATTTTAGAACCAAGTGAGCCACGTTCAACATTCTGGGACTGTTTGGGGTCAGTCATCATGCCACCCAGCAAGGTCACCTTAAAAATATTGGAGCACCTGGCCCACCTCATTGGATTTTCGGAGCTTTTGACTTTAATGTATTAATAAACTGAGGGTATATAGATGCAGGAAAGTATGTCTCCCACACTGGGTTCAGATAAAGTTGTGTGCACTTATTAATTCATCTGAATTTATGGTGTTAACAATTGCCATTTGAGATTTATAAGTAACTTTGACAAATTGTGGTTTTAATCCTTTTGAATTGGAGTTTTACTAGGATCAGTGATGATTGACAATGGCATTGTAATGGTCAGTGGGGTTTTGTTAAATTTTTTTGAAAGACAGATTTTTTGCCATCTTTTAAATTAACATTAAATCTGGTGGAGGAAGTTTTTTGTTGTGTTTGAAAGTAATTCAACACGTGGGTGATTAGTTACCTGTGCTAAATGAGGTTATTTTTGTAATTCTGTTGGCAGTCGTCTTTGCTTGGATTTCTGTCTAAAGTAAAATGTAAATTTGTGATTGGATGGTTATTTTGTTTTGCACAATGCTTTGCAGTATTTTCTGGGTGGTTTGGAATCAAATAAATTTTATTAACAGAACAATCAAACTTAATGTTTC